ACAGAGAATTAACCAAGAGCGCCAGAAGCAAAGATGTCGTCCACATAAAAACACCAGAATGAACCAAGTAGTTGTGTTTAACTAACATTATGAAAACCTCTAAATAAAGTACAGCATTCACAGGAGAAAACCAAGAACACAAAACCGTATACTCTCATGTTGAAAAGTACTGAACTTGAAAAACAATATGTATATAAAAAAATACAGTGTACTATTCATACTCATAAGCAAAATTTATGGAGTTCAATATAGATCAATTAGGTATAGACATACATAAGCCATCTAATTTGGCGATTTAAATTAATATAATGTTTCTGGAGATCAAAATGGCAAGGCCTAAGTCACTAAAAAAGGACCATGCTCCTTGATTATGGATATAAACAGCACTTTGGGAACAATCGGCGCCACGAAACAATAATACCATCCCTGAAAATATATATATATATTTGTACCCCTGTTGCAGTTTATAGACTATAAATGGCCTATCCTACATACTTCACCTGGTGGGGGCGGGGGTACCGTTCAAACTTCAGTGTAAAACATATAGGAGGACCATGGAGATGTAAAAATACACTGAAGCAATAAATGTGTGCATGTTATCAATTTGAAGGTCACAGAGTTCATTCAGTATTTGGTGATTGTGAATGCCACGATATTTAAGCTAGTGTTGAGTTTCATATCCCCAACCCCCTTTTAAAAAGCAGATGGTATTACAACTACATATAGACATTTGGAAGTGATAAGATTAATTTCTCAATCTCGGATCCCTACATCCAATTTTAGGCAATTTGACTTTTACAGCTCTGAATCATAACCCTCAACTCAGTCCTTCAGCTGAAAAAAATTGTTAAGAGGTAAGAGGAATCTAAAAACTCAAGACAACTAATTCCTCATCAAAACTGACACCTCCAACAACAGAGCAGGGAGCTCTCTTGACAGTATGTAGCAAGTGGGCAGGTTCCTGTTATATCTTTTCAAGAAATAGCTGAATGAAAGAAGCAATTCTCAACACCCAAGAAGATGGTGAGAAAGCTCTCAGCAGGGTACTAAAAGTAGGAACCAGGTCTTGAGAACTAAACATGGGCTTTCTGTGTTACCACTAGGGTGAAGGTGTTTGTTTTGTTGTTTTGCTTTTGTCCCGGCCTCAATCTGACAATCACATGGATGATCAAGCAACAAGTCAAAGTTAGAGGTGCCGTGGCTCTGAATTCACCAGCTCCACAACACACACCATCCTCATCACCAAAGTACCGTAACTGACTTGGGGGCTCCAACAAGGCTTTTTCCTTCAGGTCCATGTTTACATTCTCGGGTACAGGTCTACAAATAATAAGTTCAGGAGTGAACCTGGTGACAGCAGCTATAGAAAATAGGATCAATAAAGCCAATAGCTGAACTTGACTCTAACAGCATGTGGATTATCAGTGGCCAAAGGACTTTCTGTAAAGGAAAGGGAAGGAAAAGGCCCAACAATTCAACATGCGACATTTTGTTGTTGTTGGTTTGTTTCATTTTACTTGATATTAACAGGTAAAGCTCCTTAGTTACCTGAATCTTCACGGTACGTTTAAATTTGTATTTTATGAGCTATTCGGAAATCTGCCCTGTTTAATAATCTGTAACATCAAGAAAACATTTTAAAGTGTCTTTCACAATTAAACTCATCCACAACCTTGTATAAATCAAAATTTTGCAACCATATCAAAATGTTACACTGGGGCTGTATAACATTGCCCAGTTCCTCATTACATGCAACACTAATTACTACCAGCAGATTCAGAATTTTCTGCACATTAGAGGCTTTTAGAGGAGCTATAAAAAATTTCAGGCACCATTAATTTAAATTTGTATTGGAATTTCCTTTTGACAGATGGCCAAAAATTACTTATTATTTAGAGTACCAGAGCTGGCTGTTTGCACATTAGAAGAGGAAAGGGAAAAATTAAAAGCAAGAAGGAAATTTATGTCACGTTCATTACCTTTTATATGTTAAGGAGCATTATCCTGCATGAATAAATTATTTCCTACAAGCCTGACTCCAGCTGCAGGCAACTGGTGAGCTCTGACTGATAAAAAAAACCACCTCAGTCACACAGCAGTCAGTCATAAAAGCCCCTCACACCCAGGGAGGGGGAGGGCGATCGATGAAACAAGTAACTAACCGCTTCTCTGAGCATCACTGGAAACACTGGAGAAAATCAGCAACCGAACTCACCTTGTAAAGCGGTAGGACAGCGCCAAATCTGACACAACAGAACTTCAATTGTTAGAACTGCACCCCAACAAAAATATCCAGAACTACCATACCATTAATAAATCAAGGCAAAAATCACACACCTGTTTCCTTTTGTTTCCCCCCACTGGCTTTCCGCTATTATATAGACATCCGCTCCCAGACTCACTCAGCATGATTATGGATGATTTCAAAATATACCCTTACTCTTGCGTGAGGAAATATAAAATGTAATTGACACAAAAGAGTGCATTGGAGTGTAAATATTTTCACAGCCTTCTGGGAGTGGGGAATGAGAAGAGGCTTTTGTTTAGTTTACTAACCTGCCTAGAGGTATGTATTTATCATAAAAAAGCAGGGAATGTTTATATTTGGGCCTCAAAACTACTAGACAAGCTTTCTGTGGGCTGCAATCAACTATTCCTGGTCAATTACTTATTGCACACAGTTGTTAAGAATAAGATCTAGTCCTAACTCTAAGAATTTACAGGTCAAACAGATGCAAGTGATTCTTACTTTCAGAGCTCTGGTAGTTAGAACCCTCGGACTATTAACTGTGGGGATGCTGGTTCAGACCCACCAAACACTCCAAGGAGAAGACGAGGCTCTCTGCACCCAGAAAGAATTTGCCTTGGAAACCCTCAGGGACAGTTTGGATTTTGCCCTGTAGGAATGCTCTAAGTCAGAATCTCCTTATGACAAGGAGTCTGGTTTGGTTTTAATGAGGCTCTGAAGCTTTTTCAATGATTTAAAAGCTGTACCTGCAGCAAGGGAAGGTGTCTGTGATAAAGAATGTGCTGTGAGTAGAGGTTGCAGTGGGTTATGTGTTGGACTGCTAACCACAAAACAGTAGTTCAAGCCCACGAGCTGCTCCTCGGGAGAAACACAAAGCTTTCTACCCCTGTCAAGATTTACTGCCTTAAAAACCTACAGAGGCAGTTCTACTCTGTCTATAGGGTTGCTGCAAATCAATATTAACTGAATGGCAGTGAGTTTGACTTTGGTTTGAGAAGCTGGTTCAATATGTTTCAAGGTGAGAATTAATTTACATAACATTAATAGGGCAAATGAGTTGTCCAAAGTCAGAATTAATTTATCTGGAAACTTTCTAAGTACATGAGTGGGGAACACTTACTACACTTACCCAGAAGGCTTTTCATTCTTAAGTACTGATATGTATATTAAACAACAAAAATACATAATGGTGAATATGTAGTTAATTCACTATGTGCTGTTCTAACTGTAAATGTTGGCATTTGTATGGTGATTAAGGTGCCCTTTCAAGTTAAAGCTTCTTGAAGGGTAAAAATACACAATCTCAACTCCTGTTTTCATTATTTAAGGGCTTGGGGGCCAGGGAGGATCCCTCATACCCTTTAGGGAACAGTAGAGGCACTAGAAATGACAGCCTAGGTTTCAGGAAAGGACTGTCGTTTTCATTGGCACAGCTCTTCTTTTTTGTTGTTTTTTTAAGCATAACTCTTCTAACAATGTGAGAGAATCACTTTTTCTCCAAACTTTCAAATGTCATAAAACACAAGAAAAAAAACGTAAGCTGTACTTTGCATTGGACTGATAACCACAAGTTCAGCAGTTCAAACCCACCAGCCACTCAATGAGACAAAGATGAGGCTCTCTGATGTTGTAAAGATTTACAGCCTCAGGAACTCTATAAAGGGTCACTAAGAGTTAAAGCTGACTCCAGACAGCGATTGGTTTTTGATTCTTGGGTCAATGCTTCAGAACTGTTCTTTCTTTCTAACCCAAGGGTCCTCAAACTTTTTAAACAAGGGGCCAGTTCACTGTCCCTCACACCCGTTGGTGGGCTGGACTACGGTTTAAAAAAAAAAAAACTATGAACAAATTCCTATACACACTGCACATCTTATTTTGAAGTTAAAAAACAAATGGGCAAAAACACCTGGCGGGCCAGATAAATGTCCTCGGCGGGCCGCAAGTGGCCCCCGGGCCATAGTCTGAGGACGCCTGTTCTAACCTCTACTTAGCACAACCTATATTTAATGCAATGGCATATGGTGTGTCTGGCTCAAAAGTAATTAAGGCAATTCTCATATTTTACTCCATTCTTGTCCTTGTGAACCTGTTTTACTTGTCTGCTTACGAAATACATTTAGGTAACCCTTAGCACATCACATTCCAGTGTTTAACATAAGCTTATTAGGTCCTAAATACTTTTGCCTGCAACTTGTTCATAAGGAGATACAGAAGGCAGATAAGACAGACCCACAACCTCAGCAGAATGACTCATTATATTAGAAACTAAGATGTTATTTAAAAACAGACAAAACCAACTCTCTGTGCTAAAAGAAAAATGCTCTTAGATACAAGTGTTTACAGAGTTGTTGTTTTTTTACAGAATGGGACTATTCCCCCAAAATATAAGACTTGTATATATTTCCATGTAAGCCAATTTATTCATTTCTTTCCAGTATTATTTATCTTATAGCCAAAGCCTAACCAAAGAAAAGCAGTTATTCTTTTCCATAAGGCAAGACACAATAAAATGAGCGATACATGACATTTTATGATCCAATCTTGGTCTACAAATCTGATTCTGATAGAGAAATGGGACTCTATTTTCAAAAATCTAAACCACACCCCTGAGAACAATCCCAAAATGAAGTTAACCATTATTTGCAAACATCCAGCAAATCATTTTCTAAATCTCAAAAAATCTAGTATTAGATTTCTGGAAACCACTCGGAGCCCTTTTAAACCATCCTTCATCTGTGAACTGGAGTCCTACCTTGATGGAGTCTCTGTCTACAGGCAAAACACCAGCAACACAAGCAGAAAAAGTGGTGGGAAAGAAGAAAAAAGAAAAGTACTAGTTAGTTTTTACACAAATCATACATTTATCAGACTTGATCTGCTAAGTAGTAAATCCCAAAGATGCTCACTGTGCTGCAGAACTAATTATTAATAGTACTTGATCAGATTCACAAAGCACCAATCTACCTTTGACACAATTTCAGATGGCCTAAAGGAGGATACTCCTATTATTTACAGTCCTTATCAACTTTTCCATTTAGAAATGTGTTTAGAATCATGCCTTCACTCTGTACCTAGAACCTGAAGATAACTGGGATGACAAATATTTAATGTTTTCAACATCAGAGATGGGAAATGTATGCTTGTGTGATAAAAATCACATACTCAAAATTATAATTGATGGTAATGACCTGAAACAAGAGTAGATATGAACTTTCAATTAGGAGCCACACCCTTCAAGTCAGTGAACCACCCAGGTGCTAAGTAAATTCCCACAATGGAACACTGGGAGAGTTTCATTTGCTTTTCTACCACCAGCTAATGAAAATGGTTCTTAAATATCGTCTAGCACCAAATGAACACATAGGCTCCACACAATCGTACGACTTGGGAGGAAACCAATCTTTAAAGAGCACAAATGGCCCCTGAAACAATTATTTGCATAAACAAAGATGTTGGTCTTACAGGAAGCAATAAGCTCGTAGTTCCTGCTTACACACAAGGTGGGAGTTGTTAAAACCAAAAGATTTCACTAAACAAGGCCGCACCTTTTCTCAATCACCAAGACCACTGACAGATTTTCTTGAGATTGATCCTGTACTATAGGCTGACCTGACTTATATATAAAAGCATGGATACTATTAAACATCAAGTGGGTCTTTATCAGTAAGTCTTCCCCCAAATAGAAGGGAGTCCGATTAACATAGCATACTCTTTCAAACACACATACCACGGGATCCCATCACTCCTGGGAACAGAGGCTGCAGCATGGGATCCAAGGCAATAATCAGGAAGCCGGCCTGCTTTGCCTTTGGGGAGTGCATTAACTCTTGCCAACCACTAGGGTATCATTTGGCAAATGACTGCTTCCAGTAATTAATTTACCTTCCAGCAGAAACCCTTTGTACTATTAGTGGCTAGGAAAATTAATTCAGGGACAGAATAAATCATTGGTATCCAGACCCTACTCTCAGCAGCGGGTACGCAGTATGAGGCTGACCTCCCCAGAGAACCTCTCACCTCTTTGGTGATCACTGTCATGGTGCTTCTTCTCATCTTTAATTGGAAGGTGGGACTGGCCTCCCAGGGCACTGGAGAGGGCCAGAAGCCCTGCGCTGCTACCTATGGGTGGAATGGCAGGGGGCTGAAGCCCTGAAGGATGTGGAGTCAGAGGCACCGGCAGACCATGTCCATGTGATAAATGCTGGGCCTGGAGTTGTTGCTGCTGTGAAAAATTAGACAGAGATATTGAATTTGTCCCTTATATGCCCCCCCAACATACACACACACACACACACACACACACACACACGCACGCACGCACGCACGCAGGCACGCACGCAAGCAAACAGATCATGAAAACGCCAGCACTCACTGAAGATTTTTTTGTACCATATATATACATATTTAAACAGGAGAGAGGAAGATCGTTGTACAGTCCATAAAAGCTCTTTCTTGCCTGCCTGTGTTTGGGGACTGTGTATATGCAGAGCAAAGAACTTAATTTTGGAACAGTGAGATTACCCAACGAACTTTTAACAGCTGACCTTCTAACAGATTTCTTTCACAAAGCATCTGTATTGTTCACCAAAAAAAAAAAAGGCTTCTGTCATACATTTCTAATCAAAACATATACGTGAATAACTGTTAAAGTAGTTATGTTGAGCAAAAAATACCCTGAAAATTGAGAAAATTAGCATTAAACAGTTTTCCCCAGAACCCGCTGCACAGCATGCAGTGAGAGTTAATTTGAAAGAGAAAACCTGAATTAACAACCCAGAAAAGGAAACTGGTTGCAGCCACCGTTTTAAGCCCTTTAAGTGTCCTCGGCGGTACTTGAGCAAATTACTAAAGAAAATCTAATGTAGCAAGGCTTGGGTCCTCCTGTAGGCTTGCTCAATAATGCTGAAATAATTGAGCACTCTGCGCACGTTTAGTGATGCTCGAGTGAAAAGCTAGAGGCCTGCCCTTGTACTCTTCTCCAGCGGCCGACTCTGTGTTGTGACAGGTTTATTTGAGTGGGACTGTGATGCATGCACCAGTAACTGCACTGACAAGAGTTTAAAGTCATTTTTACCAGCACACTGGCAACACATGGAGAAAGCCCTCGAGAGGCTGGGATGGGAGTGCTTGACCTCAACAGAGGCGGCATCAAGCTCTGTGCAGAAACCGCTGTGGGCAGGCCTTGTTGTTGTTTCTGAGTGGGGAAGAGAGCGGGTGGTTTATGTTAAGTAATATCTCTCAAGGGGAAACCCTCTAACTCAAAATTCTGTTTAACAAATATTCTAGGAGAATGTAATGTTGAGTAATCCTCACAATGACTTCTATGGTGATTACGTTCTAAACCTTGCCTTTCAGTCCACTATATTTTCCCAGCCTAACAGGCAAAAGAAGTCCTCCACCACAGGTTCTCAAAGTTATTTAGATCACTCAGTGCCCCCTGGCAATTAAAACTTTTCTTACTATATATAGCCCATTATCCAGGATTAAAGTATCTGCTTTTCGCAGCCCCCCTTGATCGATATTGCCCACTTTAGGAAATATCATTTTATACTTTTCTTTGCAAAACCGATTTCACAAATTAGCTGAGAAATGGAAATTACTCTTGCAAGGATATTAAAGTGACTTTAAAAAAAAGAAAATAAGTGAAAACGTACACACATGTCTCTTCTACGTAATCTGATGATAAAAGTCAAAGTAGCGCAATAATTAGTTCTCTTTCTCCTATTGACCTGCACCTCTTTTATGGCTATATGCGCTTAAAAAATAGTCAACAAATTAAGGTACTGGCACTTTTAAAGCAAGTTTACACTCAGGAAACTGAAAATCCAGGGCAGTAATCCAGATATCCGACTACCAACCCCCAAGCTCAAAGTCCTGTCAAAGCGCTCTTTCACTGGACAGTTCAAAATAATGTATTTCTGCATTTCATATTCATAATTCTCTATACACTGCTATTCTGATAAAAAAAAGTCTGAGTATACAATTATATTTTCTAAATGGGTAGAAAGTAACAACTATGAAGAAAAGCAATTATGACACGGAGAGACTTCAGGTGAATATGAATATATGCACAGTTATTTCAAATCTTTCTTCAAACAGAATAGCCAGAAAATTGCTCCAATCCTCCTATAAATCCCCTTAATATTCTATGTGTGCTAGTCAAGCCCAAAGTCTCTACGTCACATCAGAGTTCAACTGGCAAGCATTTATTAAGAGCCTTCACCTCTCTCCCACTCTTATCTCCCTCCATTTCCTTAGACATTAAGTTCTGGGAGATGCCGCGTCTAACCCAGACCCTCTCAAACTGTAGGCACTGAAGATTCATATATATGACAAGTTAGAAACCAAAACAATATACTTCTTGAGACACTATAAACAAAACAAAAAAACTCAATCTTCTTTCACAGAATAAAAAATAAGCACTGCAGTCTTGTTTTCCATTCAACCAGGGACTTTTCAGACACAGGAAATATGGTCCGTCTGTTTGATGGACATTGCATTCAGAGGGAAGACTTCCTGGGATCCTCAAGTTGCTCTGTCTGACTTGAAATAGCTCAAATTCCCATCTTAGAGGAAGCTGAGTCCCTCTCCCTTCAGAGGCTGACCCACTCCAACGGTACCTGTTACATGAAAAGGCCCCCGTCCCTCGCCATTTCATAGCTCCTGTAAGTCTCCCATTTGCTCTACCAGCTTCAGTTCTCTCTGCTACTAGTTTTGTCCCACCAACTATAACACCAGTACAGAAAGAGCGCTGGTGGTACAGTGGTTGAAGTGCTCGGTTGCCAACTGAAAGGCGAGCATTTGGAAGGAACACGCCGACAGCTCCACAGGAGAAAAGAGAAGGGCAGTGTGCTTCTGTGTAAGCCTTGGAAAACCTACGGGGCACTTCTACTGTGCTGGAGGGTTGCAATTTTGAGTTGGAATGGGTTTTGTTTCTCCTCCTTACAAAGTCCTAAACCTTGTCTGGCATCACCCACCTTGACGCAAATGACTCTCACATTGTCTCCTAAGCTCCAGTACCCCTGCTCTAACCTCCTGCCAGACAATTCCACTTGGAAGTCCAACATTACCTGAAAATGAAAGAAGACATGTTCAACACCAATCCATCATCAACCTCCATTGGCTCAAAATGCCAATCATCTTCGGAGTGCCTTTCTTCTGTGCTCGCATGTCTATATCCATAATCACCAAGGCCAGTCCTGTCCATTCCCAACTAATTTCTACTGCCTCTTTGTATCCCTGGCACCTAGCTCAGCTCCCTACCCGTAGAGGAGACGAATGCTCTGGATAGCAAATTGCTTCTGTTATGAGCAAATTGCTTCCCAAAACAATAGCTCCCTTTTTGAACTAAAAATAAAAGTTCCAATATATCAGCTTTCAAGTCCATCCCTAAACCACCACCAGTGTAACTCTGCAAGCTTTACCATCTGGTGAACTTCTGCCCAAAACACTAGTCTATGTAGGCATCTAAACCCTTGGAACTCAAGTTTGCTAAAAATCATTTCGGCTTCACAAACATACAAGAATCCATTTGTGTCTCTTTATATTTAACTTTTGCTAATATTTAGGCTTTTACATCCCACCCCTATTAACCTCATTTATAAAGACATCTCTTAACATTTCGCACACAGAACAATCTCTGCCACTGATGCTTAGTTCCACAGCACGTGAGGCCAATACCATTTTCTGCAACACTCGACCCCTAGGAGAGCGAAAGACTTCTCCCACAGGGATATGTCATAACGACTGCTTCTCTTCCACGCCCCCATCTGGCCGGGGTTCGGTGTCGTCGAGTCAGGTCCGACTCCTAAGGAAGAGTGTCTCTACGGAAATAAAAGCCCACTTAATGAAAAACAACAGTGGCTTCTACTCTACATAATCCTTCATTTGGGTGCATTAAAACAAACAGTAATAATCGCAAACTAAGAAGTTAAACATTACTGTGGGGTCAAACTCAGTATTTAGTGCCTCATATGAAAACTGTACATTTATTTTCATTATTGGCTTTTTGGTTTTATTTTTACCATTATGAATTGTGACTAGGCTTTACTATAACCACAATTAAATTTACCCTAAGCTAATTAACTCAAAGATGATTTAGTGAAATGGTCACATGTAAAGTTAAAGCTTTTAATGAGTCACATTTTTACTATATAGAAAAAAGTGCTTTTTAATTTCCTTTGGGAACTTCTTATTCTGAAACGATTTTAAATTTAGAGTGGCAAATAGCAGGGAGAGTATAGAGGTGCCTATTTCCCCTAATCCTAACATCTTGCATAACTCATAGGTTATCAAAACTACCCAAAAAAGCACCGTTTTGACTGTCTGATTTTTTTGGAAGTAGTTTGCCAGTCCTTTCTTCCTTGTTGTCTGTCAGTTCTGCATAAGTCTGTTAAGCATTATAGCAACATGAAAATGCTCCCCTAATAAATGAAACACATGGGCTAGCAAACAGATTTGGTCTCCTTAATGAGAATCAGGGATTCCACTGCCGAACAACTACAGAGCGTACTAAAAGCAACATCAAGGCCACTGTCATCAAGTTGGTTCCAACTCATAGCAACTTCGACAGGGTTACTAAAACTGTAAATCTTTAGAGAAACAAAAGGCTTTATCTTTCTCCTACTGGGAGGTTAGTGGGTTTCAACTGCGTCCTTTCAGTTAGCAGCCCAATACACAACCCACAGTGCCAGAGGGCTCTTTATGTAGGCTAGTAGGCAATCATAAACACCGGTTTATCAAGTTTCACAAGTCAGCCACTGCATGTGGAGAAGATAAACCCCCCAAAAAAGGTGCTCAATAAAGCACCCTGTAGAAAGATCTTTTAAAAAGTGCTTTTAAAAAGATAGCACTGAGAAACAAAAGCAGGATTACTGGTAAATAGGTCACCAAACGCTCACAGAAAAAAGAAATTCATCAACTGTTTGAAGCCTTCTCGTATGATAACAATGTAAGACAGATGTACTGAAATATTATAGCAGGTTCTTAAATGCTTAAAACTGGATACATTATTTTTACGCTGTTTTAAGGTTTTACCTCAGAGGAATATAGAACTATACCGTAACAAGAGTGGTCTGTTGATCATGAGCCTTGATGACTGACTGGTCAAGCACCTGGCTGCTAACCAAAAGTCCAAAGGTTCTAACCCACCCAGCTCTGTAGGAAAGACCTGAAGATCTACCTGTTGCCCTAAGAATGTTGCTGTTAGGCACTGTTGCATCG